GCCATGACTACCGTGGTATCGGCTAGATTGGGACGGCTGGAATCGGGAAGACGCGGGCTAGAAGACCTCATGATAGAACGTTACTGGTACACACGGGTAATGGCAACTATCGGTGCCACGTCAACGACGTCTGTGAATCAGTTGACGTCAGCCACCGACGCCTGCCCGATGTGAGTGGTTCGTGGTCTGTTTTTAGTCCTTGATATGTGATCTAATGCCGTCAGTCAGTGACCGGTGATCAGACGTCAGCGGTCGGTGATCTGTGTCCAACGTCAGTCGTCAGATGACCATTGCTGATGATCTGTGGTCATATGTCAGTGCGTTGTAGTCGGTGACCACCGGTGAGGCGTTAAAACGGCCCACTGTCGTGGGCTCGCGGCATTCGAAAACCGTGGTCGGTGGTTATTTCGGCAGTCTGTGGTGGGCGGCTAGCTGAGTGCTGAATTTCCCGGCACCTGAGGTCTAAATATAGGTAAACTGCAACAGTACAACGGCACATCACACTGCCCTAACGACCTCATCCACTCAGTCCCGGTAATAACCGGGTGCTTAGCCGCCGGTTACCGCCCACCCAGTCACACATCACCACCAGTAACCACCGCACTCAGCCACCGGGAACCACCCGACCGATAAACAGCGCCTCCGGTAACCACAGGTAACCACCGGGGTGACGCTCCGCCGCAGGTCACGGTCACCGGTGGTTATCCTCTCCCCCCCCCTCCCTCAACTGACCAGCCCCGGGTGGCCGCGGGGACGCTCGCTGTAGGTGTGTTGGGCAAGGTTTGGTTAGTGGCTAAGGTCGCCGCGACCGAACCACCAGCCGCAGCCGTGGCCGCGGCCGCCACCGCACATGTGGAGCAGTTTTTATCAGAGGACCGTGTCGACATGACAGGGTGGTTTACTGTTTGGCTAGTGACATAATTGGGCAACGGGTGATGGCGAGTGGGGGATAAAATGACCATTTCACGGCTATTTGGGCTCAGTTGGTTGATGATAATGAAATTGTTTCGACAGCCCGGACACACAACATGCAGATATCGTAAAAAGAACGGAGTTGCCCCCAGTGCTTGTGGTCAACAGTGGGTAACAGTAAAACTAAAAGCAGCCGATTCGACATCCCCTTCGGTAGACAGCTCAAAAAGTACCAGGCTTCGCTCGGTAGGTGTTTCCTTGCGCATATAGCTATCACTCCGCCATCCTGCATTACCGATCTTTCAGGCGAGATTGATCTAGCACCGAGTGACCTCACGCGCTGTAAATTGCATCCTTCCGCCACTGCAGTCTGATTCCACTTTAACACCTTTATGTGTTATAGTGGGTGTCAAACTGCTAAATCATTACCGGTAATTGAGTGTCGGAATCAGGATCGCCGCCGGCGCCATGACACAGCGGGTGTCACTCAGTCGACGGCAGCAATCGCGGTTGACACGCTGGTCAGAAACGGGTGACCGTGTCACTAGGAATGAGGAAACGGTCGATGATAGCACGGGAACTGGTGCGCCGGTTTCCTAAGATACTGGAAGGACTATACGCGTCCGCTGGGTAGCCGGACTCCACGCAAAGTCCTTTATCAGTAGGACCCAGCTCGGCGTCGACTGATCAGTCAGACCATTCCCAGCCGCAGCGAGACCATAACCAAAAAAAAGAGGGAAAAGAGCTCTCCTAAAATTATAGGTGCAAGGTCTATTGGAGGGAGGAATGAATAAATGAATGAAAGAATGAATGCATGAATTAATGAATGGAAAAGTAGACTAATGCATAAATAGATAAGTAAATAAACAACTACCTCAATAATATGATAATAAGTATACAGGGTGATCCAAAAAAATTGGAACCCCTAACTTAAAATGTCTGTAACTCAGAAAACTTTCACTTTATTGACCAATTGCAAACACCATTAGAAAGAACGTTCAATTCTCTATAAAACCAAGTTGATTGAACTTAATTATTTTTTATAAATATTGCCCTAGACATATGCCTATAAAATTTGTGTCACGAAACTCAGTGAAACGGTTTTGAACATTATGCGCAAATCAGTGATTGACGCCTGACGGTTTGCTGTTCTGAGTTTCTGACCATGTCGCTTGTTGGAGGTTCATGAATAAAAGTAGCTCATTCACGTGCTATTGTAAGGAAAGGAAAGGCTGACGGCCTGCTGGGACCAGTTGTCCCAGAGACCGCTGGCCTGCGCAGTCGGAGCTGTCCCCAAGCAACTGCAGGCCTGCGTGACGGCCCACGGAGCTCACGGTGAGCACATGGGATGAACAGCGGAAGCTAGAACGCGTGTATCTGTTCTACTCTGTGCTTCTGTGTAAACTTTCATATAATAAAATTGAATTTGGATGTGGTGATATTCGCAAAAAGCAACAGATATAGTGCTAGCGGATTTCAGCGCATTGTTAACATTTTGCGATTTCGTTTCACTCAGTTTTCTGACGCTCATTCCAAAAGCTAATAGTGTGCCAATGCTTTACAACATGCATGCACCAATTTGACGTGATGTTTTAGAGGATTTAATGCTCTTTCGAATGTTGTTCGCAATTTGTCAATAAAGTGAATACTTTCGGACATATAGGCATTTTAAGTTAGGGGTTCCAAATTTTTTGGATCACCCTGTATACGCCGCAGATTGGCAATGACATGAGTGCGGCGTAGCGCCGTTTGCAGCGCCAGGAAGTCCAAAGTAGCGTTACGGGCCGGGCCGTCCGGCCGTGACGGTTCGCCGGCGGCGGTGGCGCGTCACTACCGTCACGTTACGTCACTGGCCGCCACGGCGCCGTTACGCCACTGGCCGTGCAGGGCCATTCAGCGCCGGCAGCGCGGCGACTCGGGCCGATACTTTCATCGGGCAGGATCGGCGGCCGAACAGCCTGCATGAATGAACACCGCCGCGCAGGCTGCCACCGCCTATCAGCGTCTCATTCTCAGAACTATAGTCGAAACTGATGACTTTGCGGCAGTTGTAGATAGATCATATCCCGTATCGACTACCGAATTTCGACGATTAATTATTGAAAACGTCCAGGCCGAATTCGTTACTAAACTATAGATAAGTATGTGCATTGTGCACGGGCCGTGCCAAAATGGCATTTCTACCTATCTGATGTCTATCAGGTCTAACAGTCCTTTTTGCGAACTATTTCCATGGCCACGACACATTAGGCGGCCCCAGCTCCAGGGAACAGGAAAACGGCGTCGCATCGCCAAAAGCCGTTATTTATGTATTTATCTATTTATCTATTCATTTATTTATTTATGTTTTGCTTTGCTTCTTGTATATCTACTTACCTGTGTTCGCATGGCGGGTCTGAAAGAACGGCTTCCTAAATAAGTCGCCTAACTTTGTGTAGCCACCCGTGACCCGTCGACGGCCGGGCTACTGCTAATGCCAACTAGCTTAGGTTGTTTTCCGCGAGGAAAATCTTGTTACAATGATCGCATTCTAGCAAACAACCGTAGGATATGAAAGGAAATACGCTGCGTGAAGCAGACGTTCATTACAGCATGCTTCCTATAAAATACCTATTTATTTCCGCGTTCGTTCTCTTTCATAACAGCCTCTTCAGGCTATACGAGAAATACGGACCGCGCCTAACAAGTCACGTGTATACGAGTAATAGTATGTGAGAGGTCTAGGCGCGTATTTCTGCGCCACAAGTAGCGCTACCGCCGGAAAAAAATAGGATGGCAGTGGAGTGGGGACGGGGGCGCCCGGCGGCCGGCTGGGGCGGGACTGGGCCGAGCTGATAGCCGTCAGAGCATACGGCGCCGGTAACAACCCGAGTAGCCGGCGACGTCTGCATCTGAGGCCGAAAATCGGCCGGCATACGTCACCACCCGCGGCCGGCACAGGCTCAGCGGGCTGGGGAGAGACGGACGGGGTACTCCTGGGGGTAACGGGCTGCTGGGGAGATGGGAAATCACGGGGATCTGCTGCAGGAAGTGCCTGGCGGGACCGCTACCGGGGACTGGGGAAGGACGAGAAACTGCTGCCACGGAGTCCAGCGCCGGGAGTGGAGGACGGCCATCGGGCAAAAGCGTCATACTGCTGTCTGGGAGAATGGAGTTGACAGATGCCTTCATGACCCTCAAGCCATTGGGTTTTCGTTTCCGTTCCAGCGGAGGCTAAATGTCACCCATACAGCGAATTGGACCCTTACACAGCTGGTTGGAGCGAAATCCAAAAGCCCGGTCCATAAGCCCCACACCATCGCCAAAAAGTTGCACACCCTTGCAACACCGAATTAAACCTTCTCCATACGGCCGGCCAGAAACATCCAAACTCCCCCCAATAGATCTGGCCAGACATATCTCCTCCCTGTCCATATCTCCGGCCGGAGGCAGAGGCCGGTCGCTGTCGACGATCGCCGTCGCTTCGGGCAGCGTCTGGGGACGACGGACGACGGCCCGATCACGGAGCGCAGTCAGCCATCGCCCTGCTGCGATGAAGATTGATGTGCGCCCGGAGCGCCAGAAAATGCCACGCCTGAGCCGGCACGCTTACGGGCTCCTCCAGTCCCACCAGATCGGCCGTCGTCGCTCCGGGCACGTGATAGATGGTGAATAAATTTCAATCGAATGCAGGCATAAATCATCACGCTACATCAAACTGCAGCATAGAAATAGTTAATCAATTGAACGTCAAGCTAAATATGACTTGCGACTTTGTCTGCCACCATCAAACTCCCTATAGCATGCTGCTCACATACAGACGTCTGGCCCGGCGGCCGCAGCGGCGGCGCAGTTCTCTGAGCAGCGAGAGAAGCACTCGGCCCGGCGCGTATCATATATCTGGCCGAGTGAAATACTAGCTGCTGCGGGACCGCTGCCTGGGCAGCGCCGCCCGGGCCGGGCCGGGCCGGGTATGACGGGGGCCTCTGAGGTGTTGGGAGCTGCTCGCACCGCCGACCCGGAGTGTGGTGAATTCAGTCCCGCCCACGTGGGAACATTTGCAGCTACACAGCGGCAAATGACAGGTTGGTGAAATACGGAGACGCACATTCACCCAGCATTCGACGTGCGTTTTTATTACGGACCACAGACTAACGAAGCACAGGCCACATTTGGGATCAATACTGGGCATTGGCCACCCAATGAACTACGCACGGGTCATTTCCGATGGCGGCCGCCAAATACCGTTGGTAAATGGAGTCGATAATCCACTTACCACAGCACTCATCGAGGATCACGGTCTAGCCGACCGGACTAACCAGGCGGACCGACAACGGGCGGCGACACGCGAACCGGCCCACACGAGTTGCCGTCAGCACAAAGCCGACTGGAATCCACTTTAATGAGCAGAGGCACGGAATGAGATTGGATAGAGGGACACAAATATTCCATCCGTCTCAAAAATGGATATTGCGCTTCTTCTGATGAGCTTTTCAATATTTCATAAAGGCCCGCCGCTGTAATATCGCTTATATAATTCAGCACCTTTTTCTGTCATCCAATATCGGACGGCTCGGTTGCCGCGGTATGATCACAATCGAACGCAATCTAGAAACGACAGGCAATTGGTGTAACAAAATTAGGGCGAGGTTGACAAGACAAATGCCATGGCACGGCACGAAAAAGGTTCCGTGCAACACTTGTGACACTTGACAGCCAGCACGCACATGGACCCCGCGCCATTTGCTAGTTGTCCCCAGGTCACGAGTCAACGCCAATTGCCAGGACTATTGGCCGTAACGGGGCGCGTTGAACGTCACTGGCGTTATGGCTCAATCAGCACGCGATAGAAGTTATCAGACTGGTCCACGGCCTCCTGCGGAAACAAAACGGCCGTCAACGTCATGGAAACGTCAGCCGTCAACGTCACGTTAGCCGTCACAAGAGCCGTCACATAAAACCGCCGTCAATTCACCGTCACATGAAACCGCCGCGCCGCCACAACAATCATCAACGTCACAAATCGTCTGAAATAGGCTGTCACCGTCCAGGAGCTGTACAACAGTAAACCAACTAGATGAAACTATAATTTGCTATATCTAGCTAAAGAGAATACAAAGGTTCCCTCACTTCACAAATAGCAGCCACTTAATTTACAGAGCGCTTCGTTGATCTTTGCAGGCTGCAGCAAATGGTAATTACGCATTAGGGCTAAGCGAGTATTCCCTGTATTAATGTCGGAGTCTCGCATAAGCGGTCCGTTCAGGATTGACTCGCGCGAAATATGCAATTAACTGTTAATGCAATGGGAGTTAGATAATTATTGGAAAATCAATTAGGTAGAATAAATCTAGGACGTAGTTATGCCACACAACTTGAGGAAGATGAGACAGACAACAGTCACTCAAATAATTATCGAAATACTACGAATAACAAATAATTTATGTCTCCTCGGAAAAAGTCAGACAGCACGTCTCCCCCCCCCCCCCCACCGTCAGACAGCTGGTCTCGCGGGACCAAACTCTCCTTGGTCTCCTGAGAGTTGGTCTCGTTCGCCCCCTCAGACAGCGAGGCTCTTGGGGAGACAGTCTCTCCCTTCCCGTCGGGCACCGTCTCCGGAGGACCCGTCTCACCCTCCGCCCTGCGGCAATCCGTGTGATCGAGGGCCAATCTGACGGTCATCACACCTCCTCCCACTCTGATAGGGGCCGGTGTTAGAGCCAGAGATCACCTAACGCCAACCAGAGGTCACCAAAGGTCAGTCAAAGTCACCCTTTGTCAGCCAAGGTCATCCAAGGCAGTAAGTCACCCTTGGTCAGTCAGGGTCAGTCGATGTCCCCATGTCGCCAAGGCCGGCTGGCGATGACGGAGCGGCCCACTCAGCCGCGTGACAGGCGGCTCCCAGGCGACCCCCGAGGTCAGCGAGGGTCAGCCGAGCGGGACCGACCGTCAGAGGAGCCCGGGAGACGGACGGGTCACTGGCGGCCGACCTGACGGCGCCGACACCGCCCAAATGTCAGTCGGTCTCATGGCGCCCGTGCGCTAAGTAACTGATGACCGTCCGGAGACGGGTGACCGTGTTGGCACTCCGTACTACTGTGGGGACGGCCGAGCACCCACCTGAATCTGGTCCAGCCTGAACGGCGTGCTGAGCAGCTGGTGCAGAGGGTATCGGTCCTCGGCTAGCACGGACTCCAGGTAGGCGACGGCCCTGTCCAGGTCACCGGCCGTGTAGTTGTGTACGCCTGAGAAAAGTAATTATGTATGTGACATTGCATCATCACAACCCACACCAACACACTAGGCACTAGCTGTCAGTCAGTTAGTAAATGGGACGATTTGAATAATACCGAGCAAATGTTTCTTCGAATAATTTCCCACTTAGTAAGTTTTTTTTTGTAATGATGAAAACGATTGTGACTTTCATCGGATCGGTTTTGGCACCGGCACTCAGCTTCGACTGTTAAATAATCGTTCGCTATCACCAAACTGAGGTCGCCACCGCTGTGTTTTACGTTCGCTGTATGCTTATCTCCCGGGTCACGTCAATGGGTTTGTGAACTGAGACGCTGCCGGCCCGCTCACCTTTGATTGTAAGACACTTCCTGATGATGTTCTGTCCGGTGACATCCAGCTGGGAGTGGGGGTGCACCATGCCGACCAGCACGTAGCAGCCACCCGGTCGGAGACACCTCAGTCCGCCGGGGAACACCTGCAAACACCGCGGAGCATGACCCTCAAAACGGACGGTCCGTTGGCTAAAGACGCAGCGCACTCGAGGCAGCGCTGCAGCTCAGTGAGAAAATTACTGGCTCAACGTTGCACTGACGAGAATACATAGCTGCTGAGAATCAGGCTTCATGATGATGAAATTGTGAAGTGTTTGGCCATCCCAGGCTTGTGCAAATGTCGCTGAGAATTTAAATCCTCAGGGCTAGATGAATAACCATGGGAGAGGCCAGAGTATTCTCATAGTTATAACAAGTTGATACGGAATCCAGGCCCTGAGGCATTGGGCACATAATACTAACGTTATGACTAGCACGTGGGTTAATCATATCGATTTATCGATCATGATCGATTTATGTTCTGCCGTGTCCATTGTCCAGCTCGCCAAAGTGCTGGTACGACTAAAACATGCTGAGAGAAATGGCCAATGTCAGAAAAATAATGTTATCTGATAGTAAAAGCGGCTGTTAAAAAAGCAAGAAAAGTTTAACGTTGTCAGAGAAAAGCGAGTCCGATAAAGCTGTCTAAATTCTTCGCAGCGTCTATCCTTTCCGCTGCCCACGTATAAAGCCTGTCTGAGGCTTCCACTAGTTTCGCCGGTCCGGAGATTGAGGCTCCGACACAACCTTGCCGAGTTTCTAATTGAGCGCACTGTTTTTCTTGTCGAACTTGCAGGACGTCGTCGTCGGCGGCGCCCGGGCGCGATGAGGTGCTGCCGCGCGCCGCCCTCTGATCTCCGACTGAGCGGCGAGACGCACGGAGACCTGCTGCCGGGAAGTGCAGCCCTAATGGGCCGCTCTTGTGCTCTGACAAAAAGCCGCTCCTGGTTGAGCAGAGAGGAGCAGCAGTCGGCGAGTTTCCGCCATCTGCGGCCCATCAGCGCCCTATGTTCTGCAGCCGGCCGGCAGGCCAGTGAAAGGTAAACAGCCGTCCGCCTCACCGGTCTTATTGAAAGCTGGCTGTCGCGGCGCGCTCACGCGTCTTTGTTTGGCGTCGGCCGTAGTGCCGTCAGGTAGCCGGCAGCACGGGGGGCCACTTCAGAGCGCCGAAACTGGCGCCGCCGGAACGGAGTTAGCCGTCATTAGCGGACGTGACCGGCATGGAGAGCGGCCGGGCCGGCCGCCGACGGACGCGACTGCAGCCAGCGCGGGTCAGATTGGGCCCGGACGGGACCAGGTTGGACGAGTCGGGTCGGGTTGGGTCGGAATGAGAATTAGTGTGGACAGTATGAAAACGACGAACGGAATCGGACAAACTGACCTAGGTCAGTGAGATGAGAGGCCCTTTTTCCCTCTTCAGAGCTATGTATGTCTTAAACCGTACCTTTTTTTTCAGTAGACCAAAAATAAAGCAGTAGGAGGCTTTCAGCTTTTGTGTTAAAGCGAGTTTTATTGCCGATAAACTGGCATTTGTACAATATTTTATATCTTTACAGCATTCATTCTAAAAAAAGGCTCATTGGACAATCATCTGCCTTGAGGCTGATGTTGTTGACAATTCCATCGAACGCTATAACTTTCATAAACTCTTATGCTGCGTGTTCCAAGAATGTATAGAACGGAGCATGTCTTATCAGTGAGCATAACACCAAGTGGATTGCAACGAGGGTTATTAGTGAAGCAGTGCGCAATACGGGAGAGGTTTCCTTTTGTGGCACCCCGAGCATTCACAGCCAGAATCCATCTCGTTTGCTATGCATCCGAGCCACAGTGAAAGCCCCCGATTCAACAGTCCGGAATGTCTCAACAAATAGCGTTCTCGCTCTTTGGCGACGGGACGGGAAATCGGCAGCCGCGCGGTTATTTGTCGCTCATTTCACCGCCCAGCCGGCCGGACCGCGCCGAGCCATGCCGTAAGACATGTAGATCGCTCTCCGCCGGGCGCCCGTTCTCTCTGTGGGCCGCATCTGGGCCGTTTCATCAGAGAGTGGTCGGGAGGGCGCCCAGCTGCCGCGACGTCCCGTCGCCGCCGAGATTTTGCGCCATCGCGCCACCCCAATGGGAGGATATACCGCGTCGGATCCCGAGCGATGGCCAGCTCGATATCTGGGGCATGGACGCCGTCCCAGACCCAGAACTGGCAGGGGACTGATGCAGAAGACTTTGTGTTGATGGCGAGCATTTATTCACAGCTCAAAAAGCCGTCATATAAAGGCAGCATCAAAAATCGTCGAAAAAATAGCACGCCGAAAAAAACAGCGGATAAAGCGTTTGGGACAAGGTTTATTTGGACAACGTTCCTCTAGCTAGGAAGTAATTGTCGATACATTCCACTATAAACTAGGAAAGAAAGGGGTTCCATTTGCTTACAAACTGCAGCGTTTCTAATGACCTAATCAGCTCTAATCGCTAATCAATGAACACGCCTTCAGAGACGACAGGGCAACGTACCTTTGGACTGCCGCAAACTTCGACGACGCAGTCGAAAGAGTCCACAAACTGACGACCGGCCTCTGGAAATACAGCGGTCATTGTCACTGCTGACGCCACCATCGAACAAACTCGGCCAAAGCTACGAGACGCCGCGCCGAAAGCGGCACGGCGAACACATCAAATGCATCACTTAGACGGCATACAGCCGCCATATTTTTAGAGCAAACAGCCCGCAGGCCCGAATCTCGACAGTGAGCCGGGCCCAACTCTACAGAGTGCTGAACCCGTGCTCTACCCTTACGCGAGCTTTTAGCAGTGCATGGTCGGCATACAGGGTACCATACCATACCGGGTATAACGTCGCTGGACAACGGGTAAGATGTGAAGGACCCATAACGGTTAGGACTGGAGGAACCCTGAAGACGGGAACAGACTACGGGGAGGTCACCAAACCACAGGCGCACGTCCTTTCACAACTCCGCCGGCCCGGAACATCGGCCCAAGTGCATGGCACTGCCGAGTACCGAGTAACGTTCAAAGGTCAGTCAGTCGTCACATGGAGGCCCCTGTGACTGCGCCGGTCGCCGGCTCCGGTCAGCAGCTCGGCCGACACACTGACCAGGGCCGCTGACGGGGTCCGACCGATACAGCGCCATCCACTCGGCCGTCCGAGCGAGCGAGCCCAGAGCGGGCCTGCGCAAATGGATGGAGCTCAGCCGCCCAGTCAATGGCGCCGCGCCGAACGATTTCTATTGGTACGGCGGCCGAGCCCGAGCCCGATTCAAGGATTGCCGAGCGACTCAACGACAGTTCGGCACGTCAAACTGACGTCAGATATCCCATTTTAACACCGGCATTGAATCAGCAAAATACGCAACGGCCTGTGAGATTAACTTTGAGTGTGGAGTAAAAATATCCCTTCTGAGTCAGGTCTTATCTGGGAAAGACAGAGACAGGAGGCACGCAGAAAAATGATGCAATTATTTATTCATAGCGGCTGCTGATGAAGCCGACTGCTAAGCTGATCCAAAAGTGGAAGCAGGCCGGGGAAAGATGGCTTTAAACGTCAGGAGGGCCTTTCGAGAAAGCAGGCATGTACCGCAGAGTACATACATATTTATAGTCATAACTTAAAAAGCTATATTTCGTTGTAACATTGTTTCAAACTCACCGAAAGAGTTCAGTGTTGCTTGTTATTTATGGCCTGTGTTCATCAGGCTTGTTTGCGTAGTTTTTGTAAGTAGCGCTATTACTCATCGAGGAACTCTGGCGATATTCACTCGACTCAACACTAACGACACCGTTCTGAACTTGGAAGAGAGCGAAGAGAATATTATTTTCGCCCTATAGCATTGATGGGCATCATTTATCGAGGGATAAAAGCCGTTTATCAAATCTATATTGATAGCAGGCTACCTACGAGGTGTGATTTACAACATAAGAATGATGGCACCATTCTCAATCTTCTGAAATTCAATGAAGAAACAGATGCCGGCAACAGTTTCGCGACCTTTCTTCCGCTAGCACATTTGCGCTTCGACCAGCGTCTGGCAACACTGAGCTAATAAACAAGACAGCATGGTCAGTGAACCGAGATATTGCTGTAAAATGTCAAGCCAACGAAAAATGCCGAACTGAAATGGGATATCGGCCGTTATCGAACTTTATGCGCAGTTTTGTCAAGATACAAGGCTATGTGGCAAGACACTTTAACCAGTCTAACGCTGGGATTTTCAGGCAGTACCAAGTAAGGAATGTACAAATGAAACTACCGTAGCCACCTAAAAGTATCCCACAAATTATGCATCGTCATGATCGAGCGCCGAGGGAGCGAGCCTCGATTGGATCAATTGCAGAAATAGGGTCGCGTTGACGGGCGGGTACAGCTCACCTCCCTCCAGCTGTGACGGTTCCAGCGGGCTGGCGCCGAACCGGGCGGCCATGTGACGTCTGGCGGCCACCGTGTCCGTGCAGAACACCTCGCCGAACCGCAGCTCGTCCCGCAGGACGGAACAGGCAAACACGCCGAGCAGACCGGCGCCCTGGAAACGCCGGCGTGAGGGGTCAGCAGACAGAATTATCACTTGGGCCTCAGCACGTTACTTACGATATTGCAACCCAGTTCCCACACACTGCGTCGCAATCTCAGCACACGGCCTCAGCAAGATGCATTCAAAACCGCTGTACTCGTATGGTCTCATCTCAGCACCGCATTTTTTGGGTAAACGATTACTGATTAGGTATTCATTGGTGATCCGATAAATTCTGAGTGGGAAGTGAATGAACTAAAGGGTTAATGACAAATCACCATGATGCTACGTGCTAAGAGATCTCGCAGACTGCTATTTCAGCCCTTTAAATCCATTCGAGTCCGATCTACTCGTAGAGAGAGGCCAATCCACGGGTACTTCGCATTGTGAGGGAGGGCAGTCGGCAATCAGTAGCACATACCATCATAATATAACGGACTAAGTACAAATAAATTACTTTACATGGTGAGCGTAATTTTTGTCCCTAGCTCCATCCGTGGAACAGACGTTATGGAAGAAGTTAGATATGAAAATTGTTGAGCTTTGAGCGTGATGTACTCAAAACAAAATGAAAACAATACGCTATCTAAACGGGTCCCAGTTGACTGACGGGTACATACTCGGACTGGCGGGCTCTACCAGAAGCCGCAGGAGGGGACGAAGGAGCGAAAAGATCACGCCCCGTCTGCTTTCGAGATATCAACTGCGACCGGAGCAGCGACAAGCCAGATGCCGTTCAATGCATGAACAATTCCGATTTATTGTTTGTTTTTCAAGGAGGCGTTCAGAAGAAAAGTCATCAGCAAAGTGAACGGCCGAAGCTATTTCCTTGAATCCTCGACGGGACATTTGTGCGATCAGTTTGCAGATATTTGAATGACTTCGGGACGCAGACTCAGATACGCAGATGCGAAACGATCAGAACAGTCGACTGGTTATAGCAACTCAGGGAGAAAAAAGGCTCAAGCATGCATACATTGCATAGGAACACATGCTGCAGATGTTTTCACATTAACGCAACTTGGGCGTGTAAGCCGTCTGTCGACTGTCTTATTATGCATGCTATATAATACTCAGATAAATGGATAGAGACATGCTGTTATTGCTCTTCGATTCGATTCAGGACGGGCACATATTATCATCGCAGCAATATTTATATTCCAACCAGCCCATGGATATAGATTATAGAATATAGATATGGCGCGATCAAACGTTATTGGAGCATCAAACTTGGAAGCTCGAGAGTAGGTGCTTTCAAACGTTGGCTGTGAGTGACAGTTTACGTCGCTATTCGCCAGCCAACTGCCCTTCATCTCAGTCACGAGCGAAACGATCCGATGTGAACGATTCTGTTTGGTGCTGTATCGTCTCAACAATTTAAAGGGACCCTCCCACCTTAACATTAGATTTGAGTTGAGATAGCCAAAATGGGGTCCCTGGCTCACAATTACCGGTTTCGGCACTCACAACACCGAGAAATGCCTTAAATCGGAAATATTGAATATCAAAATTGCAGCATTTTGATTCAGAGGGGCTAATGCATAGGAATACCCCTCTGAATGTGTGACGTCAGCGCAGATATCTAACGATTTTTAAATGTTTGACTAAAACGTTTTGTAGCACGCGGTGGTATATGCTGCTTTGCGCGCAACAAATGCCGCACTTTCAAATAAAGTCGCTATAGGAACAGCGGAGATCCCAAAAAGTAAAGAAAAGTAAAAGTCTAATATCTTGAAAACCGGTGAATATTTTTCGATGAAATTTGGTAGATATTCATTTTTGCTCTTTCTGAACCGAGCGACATAACTTTCATGCCAATTCATTAACTTTTTTTGAAGGTGGGAGGGTCCCTTTAACGGATGCTGTGGGCCAGACCAAGTGCGGTGGTTATTATTATCAACCGCAGGTAGGAGAGGTGGGGAGGAATAAGGTTGTCACTGTCAATATTGCATTCAAATTGGCATATTTAATCGAGAAATGCACCAAATTGGCCGCCTTCCTTTCGGAATTTTGCGGTGCCGTGCTGAATGGTCCATGGGAGTCGGCGGCTTCGATAGGTAAACAATGGACAGATCAAGGAAGCATTGAGACACCACGGCACACGCACAAGCGATAATTCCTACCTCCAAATGGCATCAAAAGACAAGAAGAGCCGTATTTCCAGGAACTTATCAGATCGCGGAGCGCTCAGTTCCCATGGGCACCGACACGTGACCTTTATCGCGTATATTATTAGAACGGTGTGACTGCGCTGCTGCCAGCGATTATGATACACAGAACAGGTGGTGACTGAAAGCGGTTTATGAGGAGGGCCCTGATGCGGCCATGTGAGCCCACCGCGTGGGGACTGTCGGGTCACGGACCCATCCACACCTATCACGCTGGTCGTTATCGACTGCCCGATCGGGTCGCCCGGCAACACGGTGAGCCGCGGACCGGGACGTATTTACGGCACACCTCATCGGGCGCGGTTAGTATTCGGTGGGCACACACGGCGGGGGGCGGCATCAGCCGATAGGGAACAGAACAAACACAGCCTCCAGGCTGCTGAGAGCGGCCAGGCAGGCGGCTACGGAGGCCCACAGAACGCACATTTATAGGACATTTTCCTAATGGTCATATCGACCAGTCAGAACAGCGAGGGCACTCCAAAATCAGTGGATATCCCTTGGTCGTAGGCATCTCACCTGAACCAGTGCCCTAGTTCTTGCGGTCACCGGCAGATGGCTCTGCAGGGCGCGCGCCGCTGCCATGACCGTGGCCAGGGCGCAGTTGATGGGCGCGGCCAGGCCAGGGGAGGCGGCCAGATGCGGAGGCAGGGGAACGACGTGGGTGCCCGGTCGGATCAGCACGTGGCTCGAGTAACAGCCGTTCAGTCCGCTGCCGCTGCTAAGCGTAGTGTGACCGTACTGCGGCACGGTGGGGAGAGGTCAGCTCTGGTCGGTTAGTGGCTGTACCGAGGTCAGTCACTAACATGTATCTGAATAGAAGTAAGGGTCACCCGTTTCACATCAGCCTGATAACGACTGCAGCGGGATTGGTATGTGCTACTTTCGGTAACAATCAATTCAATCGCAAATCATATACAACTACAAGTTCCGTTTTTGTTTGAGTCACGAACTGACGTACTTATTTACATGCCGTCCTTACCTTCATTAGCTGTCGACATTTCTGTGTCAGGCCCACTGAGCAGCGATCGCACTCTCCACAGACGTTACACACGCAGAAGGTCACCAGCTGACCCGGGGTCAGGTCAGGTCGACGGCTGATTTCGACACGGCCCACGCCCTCGTGACCCAAGATCCTGGTGGCAGAGACACAAGACGAGGTGTTTGAGACGGGTATCGAGCTAAAAACACAGTCAAAACGTGGGTACTGGGGCGTTCAGTTCGGATGGGGAAAGGTAAAGCGGTTCCTCTCGCGCAAGAAAGTGCATGATGCTGGTCCAGAGACATCGCTATTACGCTGCCCATACGTCCACGTCATGGAATTTACTTCCTTTTCTGTCTAATTTAGCGTCACGTCAACAATTTACCGTCTTAAGTTGGTCTTGTCACGGTCAAAATCGCTTACCATCCATTACTTTACGGTCCTAACCGTCCGTATGATTGTCTGCACAGCGCACAGTGCACACTATGCCAAGGCCATGAGATCAGCAGCCTATCTCCAGAGCAGAAACAGCTAACAGTGACCCCTCTACTCTCTCCTGCTCTCTCTGCTCTCCGCTCTCGGGCGTCGGAAGTCTGCTCGACGGCACGGATCGAGCGGAGACCGGGGAGGGCCGGGGAAGGAAGGAGGAGTTTCCGGGCGGGGAGTCCCGCTCCGGGCCCGGGAGCCGCGGCGGCCCAGTCGTCCGACAGCTGCCGGCCGGTCGGCTCACAGCACCGGTCAGAGTCTGAGCCTCCGGCGCGGGTCGGGTCGGGTCGCTCCATCGCTCACCGTCCACCATTAGTGTCCTTCATGACCGCCGAGTGTGGCCCGCCGGCCAGCGACCATCGCCGATAATGGTCCGCGGGCGTCATGATGTAATAGGCCCGCATCACAGGCGAAAAATGACACACCGCGGGAGATGAATGGTGCGACCGGGCCGGCAAGTTCTAGAAAGGGCAGTTCCAAGTGCCTGAAAACGACAAAAAGGCTGATATATCGGCAGCGGCATAAAAACGTGTCTGGGAGCCAATATCGAGCGAAGGCTGGTCGCCATTCGCCAATACTGTCTCGTCGCCAAATGCTAAATCAGGGTACGGTTCCTTGTGGCCTTGTTAGACTCGGTGCAACCCCGTGTGGCCCTGTGACCCCTGTGTGACCTCGCTGTGACCTCACTCACGCCGGAGTCGGCTCGGTGCGCATTCCGCGGATGGTGTGGACGTCCGAGCCACACACGGTAGCCGCCACCAGTCGCAGCAGCACCTCTCCCTCAGCCAGCCGGTCGGGCAGCGGCAAACGCGTCAGGCGCAGGGGCCTCCCCGGGCCATCGAACACCGCCGCCAGCGCCATCTGTTGGCAGAGAGCGGCGGCACAGGGTCGGCAGGGAGCAGAGCTGGAGGGGGCAAACGAAGTATGAATGAAGTCCGACGCAAGAGGAACGCGGGTGTTACCGCGAGCAAAGGGCAATTAATCAGCTAGGTGGGGGTTGCAGTTCAAGGCACAGGGCAGGTGGAACGCCAACTTGTGAGCTATGATCGCCTGACCTCAGGAGTCGAGAAGTTTGAAGTTTCAGATTGGAGACTGGAGAGAAAGAAAACGAGAGGAATAAGGAAAAAGCCAGCGAATGTAAAAGCGAGAGAGAGAGAGAGAGAGAGAGAGAGAGAGAGAGAGAGAGAGAGAGAGAGAGAGAGAGAGAGAGAGAGAGAGAGAGAGAGAGAGAGAGAGAGAGAGAGACGAGTCACATCGTATCGAACTGAAAAGACCGGAAAAGCATCCGCTGAATGTCCAACATTTCCCATTATTTACATACAGACAGCAGACGGCCGGACCGGGGCGGAGTCGGGGGGGGGGGGGGGGAGACTGTCCGACAGGTCAATGACCCCCGGGGGAACGAAACGGTCAGCGAGCCTGTCCGTCTGAGAGACAGGAATGACACGGGTAGTGGCCGAGCGTCGCGGATGGAAGGAATCAAATGAGCGGCAAATGACCACGTCATCCCGGGAAATGACAGTGTGAACGAGGTGACAGGGAGCGAGTTAGACGGTGGCAGGCTAGGGAAGTTGTTATCACCGAGGTGATGCCTGGGAATTTAAGCCAATCGACCACAAATGGGGCACCGGAACGGTTCTAGCACCGGCGAAATACGGTTCAATTACACATGCATCGTCATTCTGACCGCCAAGTGCCATCAAGCGCTGACGTTGCGAGCCAATTAAGGTTGCTACGCTATCCCATATCATACCAACATCCATCCACTAACATTATTTAGAAACCAGGGGCCACAGGGTTATCTCTAGTAATGTTCTTACCCCCTTTTCGACGGTTGCTGCCATCTGAGCTGCTCGCTGACCGGGTCACTGTGAGTCTGTGAGCCGCCCACCGCCCTCTCAGGAGCCGGCCGTCCCGTATGGACACTGCTCCGTCACAGCGCCTGTACGAGAGAAAATAAACACGATGGACCGTACAGGATGAGGACGTTTATAGTATACACTATACTGTGCGAGCAGTGAATACCGAAATCGGCAGTCAGCCAGACCAGGTGAACATGACAGATATGCAGCGGCTTCTGTGACTTCACTGTAGTCAGTGAGTACGCTCTCATGCAGGTGGAATCTGGAGTACCTGTCTTTGATGGATCAAAGCACCAGTGTATCATGCTCCGTACATGAAACTTGTAACTCTTCCAGCCCGTCGATCACTCAGCAGCACCCTTCCCCGTCCATCCATGCGTCCAATTTGTGTATCATATAGCTATACTACAGCCGTTACTAGGGACGATGACGCCCATCGGACCGGCTAACCGGCGGTGACTGTTCCGTTGACGGACGCCGCCATCCGTCAGCGGTGACGGCAGACGGCCGGGATTGGCCTGTCAATGGTGACAGATGACCCGTCATCACTGGCAGGTGGCGCGTGTCAGGCCGTCAACAGCACCCGCCTGTAGCCGGGCCGAGCGACACGCCAATCGGCCGGCCACATGGCAGACGGTGAGTCAGCTCCGCCGTCACCGCCCAGAGGAGCTAGATGAGAAATTTGACTGATGGGGAGAGGGTTGACGTTCAGTTAATGGAAAATGGTGGTTTATGGTAGAAAACAGTTCGCTTGTCACATAACTAAGCAAAAATCCATCAGCAAAACTACAATGGTGCTTTATTGCACGACTGGTCTGTGGATCATCCTCTTCATATATATATCGCAGCCCAAAACATCAAAACATGCTGGATTTCGTCAACATCAGCTTTTATTAACGGACGATTGAGCAACGACTTTCCGGAATTGAATGAGCACTTTCGCCACCATTGGTGACATATGGGTGTAGAAAAGGCGTGCATACCGCCAAACGTCAACACCGTGTGGATGACGACCGGAATGACAATACTAGCACGCGTTTGACTATCTCAGAAACAGTAAGGTACGAAACTGGCATTCATAATAACAGACAGTCGGCACTCTGTACTATTCCACTGAGGCATGAGACTGCCGGTCGAATAGCCAGCACATGACATGTCCACCGCTGTCATTACGGCAGTCCGATTCCATCTCCGGTTCCCGACGTACCGGAAATAACGCATCGCAGCAGTGATTGGCATTATCGGAGCACAGGCGCGTTCCATGCACTATATTTGTGTCGAAAGGTCGTACCAAAAGTCAGAGAGATAAAAAGGTCATGACGCTTGAACACACTCATGCAAAATTGCACGCTACAGTGGTCCAGCGTCTTGGCGCTGAGTGCTACGTCCTGAGTGATGAACTTCGTTGTTACTGAGAATTCGTGCCAAGTGGTAGTTGAAACACGATGTAGCTATACGTTCACATGACGCTAAATGCACACTTCGATAGTCGCTCCCGCCCGCCGCTGTACGACACATTAAAGAAGAGTGACACAGCTGAGGTAACAACGAGCGACGGCATCACTTCAGCTCCTAGGAATGCAAACTTTGAGAGATCAGCCGAGATCTAAGTAAAAAACTATCTATCGCTACAGCGTGACAATCGTTTCAAAATCCTGAGCTTGCTCGCGTTTGGCAAGACTACGATACCGGAAATATCAAAGATCACAGTGAATGAGAGAAAACTAAGCACGCAAAAACTACGAGACGGTAGCGTCACGACGCCAGCGAAAATTATCCTAAAGCCGTACCGGGTCAGTCGGTACCGGTCAGCCGCCATAGCAGCCAGACCGCCTCAGACCCACGGCTTGGGTCATCGACTCCAGCAGGGATTTCCAGGTCTTCTGCTAAAGTCACCTGACCGGCCACCAGACTGACCTAGTCCCGAGGTCCGTGTCAAACACACTGGAGCCGGGCGTAGAACCTCAGCACGGCCGGGTGGGCGCGCACGCAGGCCGCTGTAAAGTCGAGCACGCGCAGCGAGCGTAGGTTTCTGGCGCGCGAGAGAGCCACGTAGGCCTGTCCAGGCTCGAAGGAGCGCGATAGAGCCATCTCCACGCAGTCGAGTGTCATACCCTGTCGGGAAGATAGGGTCATACGTCACACACATGGAACATTTCAAACATCCATCATCAGAATAACAAGTAAATATGTCGGACTATACGACTACTAAAACCGACAATTTTGACAAGGCTCGCTTCAGGCGAGAATAAAAGAGTTTTATTAAAAAGTAAAATAGACGTCTACTTCACACAATTATTCCAACTGTATCCACAATAAATCTACAGATGAGACAGTGGTCACGTTATCAAAGACCATAACTTATTCGGAGACAGTGCACTCTGCGAGTAAAATATGTTCCCTGGGTGGTCGTTCGGCGGCAGGCGAAAGACGTCTGTTTGCTGATGCTTCCGACATGTCCTCTCGGAACAGTGGGGGTCCCCGAACCAAGCACAACTCTCCCAGAGAGATTCCAGCCAGTTGCATCTAGTTATTTACGACATCTCTCCCTTCCCAATAGCAGGCAGAGATGGGGTAAATCTTCCAGCTCCTCAGGGAGGGGGAAAGGAAGGGAGGGTTGGCCAGCTGTTTCCCAAACTATTCCACTTCATCACTCATTCGGCTACGCCACCACCCACCGACCGCAACTGGCCCACTCCATCAACCTCCTCCCCCCAGACAACCTCCCTCTCCCCACCCACTACCACCAGGCCCCTCACAGCACCACGGGTGACCGACTCCTCCTCGTTTCCACCCCTCTTAAAATCAACGGCTTTCACCTCGAACGGCGCCGAGCGCCATAAATCGCCAGTTGGTCCGAGAGGAGCGTCTGGGGCGGCCTGCAAAGTTGCGCGGAGCGCCGAAGCCTGACTGGGCGCTGCCGTCCGTGACACGCACACAATACGGCGGTGGAAAACAGTCGGCCGCCGCGGCGCACCGCCCGCAAAAAGCACCGGCCGCTGACACAGGACCCGCCCCGGTCGCGTCGCATCGGGCCGCTCCGTTAGCGGATAAAACAAAGGGCAGGATGGCGGCGGTCGAACGCTGCGACAGAGCGGCGACCCGCCGGACAGTGCACAGACGCTGAGGCCTGGGAGCACATGCTTCTGGTTCATGCGACGTTCGAATAACGGCCCGATCGCTAACCAGCCTCATATTCTGCTCTTGCTGGCGTTTGCCAGCGCTGTTAAAGCGGCTACCAGTTCTGCATTGTCCAGACGTGTGGGTTTGAGGGAGGCATAAAACACTTCCCGGATACGATGCACAGGGATGGATGTGACCAGCCAACCCGTAACGACGGGTTGTCGCTAATATTATTGCAATGATAAGCGACGCGTATTAAGGCAACCTTTTGATAAGATAATTATGTCACAAAGTAAGCATCGCGGCAACAGTGGCCCCTAAATGTCATCAAAACCCATACGTTCAAAATAACCACTTCAGCTTGTCATGTAACGTAGGTCAGCTACTCGTACTCCACATAGGTACTTGAAAGTTCAGTGAACAGTCTAGCCCATCCACCCACAAACATAACTCATGAGAAGGTCATGAATACCCAGCCCAGCCCTGTCCGGCAGCGCTATCAGCTCCCCACCTGCGACTTGTGGACGGAGAAGGCCCAGGCGAGTCGGAGCGGCAGCTGCCGGCGACACAGGGTGCCCGCTCCGCCGGACGAGCGGGCCGTCCACCTCTCTGGGGTGAGCACGCGCCGCACACCGCACGCAAACTGCACCTCGGGTAGCTCTGTAAGACACAGAGAACGAGCGATGGTTAGCGTAGGGTGCAATAACCAAACGGAACATAAAACGCACAAAGGCTAGAGACACAGACACACACACACAGAGGTAAGAGAAAACACGCACACGTACTGTACATTGGTCAGACGAGAGAAACACGTAGACGTCACATACACTGGTCAGACTAAAAACAAACACGCACGCTCACGTGCACACACCGGTCAGCGGGTGACTCTCCAGTCGCCTGCAATGATGTCACGTGGAGAAAACAGGCCATCGAAGGGAGGCCGTGGGTTGTCACGGGAGTGCTGGTGGCCGCTGCGTAAACGCACGTGCCCAGAATCACAGCAACACGTGGGCGGGGTGTATTTCCCGCAGAGCCATTTGGCACCTCGCCGCAGGCCAAACTACCGACAGTCGAGCGCTGAATAAAAATTACTCTCTTGAAGGAACACGTCAGCGAGGGAAGGAGACCAAGCTAATTTTGATTCGAAAGCAAATCTAATCGATTATTTTAGCTTTGATCAGTAGTAGATGCGTAGCAATGACTATACTTTCGTTTTTATCACCGTTTCCATTCCTGCTTCGTTTTACAATGTATAAGGGTTAAGAACCGTCTCTATAAGGGTTAAGAACCGTCTGCTCCGATCGAGTGAGAACGCTCCCGGTGTGATGCAGCCAGAGACGTTCTGTACCAGCTACGAGGTGTGGCTAAAAAGAAACCGGACTGCTCGTGCTGGCCATAAACTAGGGGACCCGAAGACTAGCGAGACACTTGGCATTAATCTTTAGCATATTGTCGTAATGTGTGCCAAACGGCATCTCGATATCGCAATTATTCTCCTTTCCACAGCTCTTTGTTTTATCGATGTTCGGCGGCCTTGTCATCGCCAGGCTTCTACAATAAACTTCGAAAAAAAAGAGGGAACATCACGTTCCTTTCCAGACTGGAGAAAAGTCCAACAGAGACGCTGAATCTGTTCAAGGCTGTTTATGGGGAGCAAGTCATGTGTCACATGCAAGTGTTTGAATGGCCTATGAGGTTCAGCACTGGTCGTGAGGATGTCGGTGATGACCCCAAGGTCTGGACTCTGGAGGTCCATCAACGTCCGCGCGCATGTCGAAGTCGAGAGTGGAGATGACATTGATCGTCTTTTTCGATCATAGGGGATTCGTTCACCGCCAGTTCGTGCTGGAGGTGTACCACAGTCGACCAGTCACTTCTACAAGGAAGACCCGGGACGCCTCATTTCACGAGTCAGGCGCACCAAGTGGAGTTTCTGGGAAGCCAAGA